TATCGCAAACTCCGACTCTTTCTGACCCAAGAAATTATTAAAACGTGTTTTCATCTCGTGCAGAAATAGACCAAAATGCTGCATGTAACGGCATGAGAATAGGCTAATGTGTCCGTAAATTTCCCGTTGACAAACAAAAGGATTAGGATCTCTTTTTTTTACTTCACTATACCAGGAAATAACCTGATCCTATTAATAAACACTCCACCTTTGCTAGCAAAATAGAAAAAAGATTCTCGTATATAAAACGAAGTAGGCTAATAAAACAAGCAAATTAATGAGTAGGCTAAATAATTAAGTTAATAATCAAATAAGTTAGCCCCGCCCCCTCACGATAATATCGTGTATCGCCGATCTCACAGGCTGACGATAGGACGATATGAAAATGGAGCATATCGCCCAACACTAAATACTACCATTGATTTCATACAAAACGGAAATGAAATAAAGTAAATCTGGTCAGTAATAAGTGAAGTCGGTAATGCTGTTTGAGTTGTTTACTCATCCTCTGCAGAGATCTTCACAGATTTAATGTGCTGCTATGCATGCTAGTTTTGTTTTGATTAAATCTATATATTTTTGTTTAGATCAAAAATAGAATTTAAATTAATTGACTTTCTTCAGCATGAAAAATGTACGTTGTACCAAGTTTTATAAAATCATTTTCATAGACCTGGAAAATATTGGTTAGGCTGCATCAAGTCAGACAAAATTTCTAACCGGCATGCACTGCTTCAAGCAATGTCGTAGGTTTGATTTTGAAATTGGTGGGGACGGGGACACCAATTTATAAATATATTTTAAGTTTTGATCAAAATTGTTGCTAGGGATTTATCAGTGTCACTGGATATTGGTAGGGACACGTCACTAGCATCCCTAAATTCTACGCCCCTGGCTTCAAGTCAGCCACTGTTCAGTCTGCGCAGAGCTGCATGAAGTCGAACAAGCCTAATTACTCCTTAATGGATCAAGTCCAGACCGAACTTCAAAGACCAAAAAATGTTGTGGGCGGGTTCCGGGCTGTCATTCAGGCTAGGTTGGGACTACACGACATTCCTCCCGGGTTAGTGATATCACCAACCCTAAAAAGTACATAAGCCCCGGGAACACTCAGTCCATGTTGAAAAGATGAAAAGTTGTTGAATATGAGTATGTTTGTGAGTCAGCTCAAACTTAAGCATCCATCTTTTAACATGCAGTAGAAAGTCACTCCGAGTGTATCTCACAACAGTTCCTATACGAGGGATTTATTTTTACAATGGAGTCTTCAAACGCCTCAGATATAAAGTTATTCGCTGTCAAAGTGATGCCAAAATGAATGGGAGTCAATGGAAATGCTAACTCAAGTGAAGTTCTGCTACAAGATGGCGGCACCCCCGGCCGGCTTCAACTTCCGGTCGAAGGATTACCCCCTTGGTTTAGATTCCTCGTGGCTAGGTTACTACAAGCAATGGCGACTGAAAGAGAGCGGATCATGTTGGAGTTGGAGCTTATTGAGGTGGAAGAACAGGTAATTTTAGTGAAATTACTAAAACTAAAAGGCAGAAATGAGAGAAGATGTTGGAGGAGATGGTACGTGCGGAAATGTGTGAGATGGTACGTGAGGAAATGCGATGCTACCAAGCCGAATGATCACAGATCTCGTGGTCTGCGTCGTCGCGACGTATAGTTACATTTTTGAGGAGGTGCGCATCAGGCTACAGCGAAGGGTACGTGGTAGGGGTACCGTACCTACTGTGCGTAACCTACGCAGAAGTATTAATTGGCTTTAACATACACAAGCTCTTAAAACACCGCCCTCTGCAGCGGCTCATTTGCATTTAAAGGGCCAGACACAAAACGGTGCGTTTTTGCAAACCCTCAAAAAGTGAAAACTTCAACATGCTACTTCAAATATCTGTGGGGTATTTTGGGGTACACACACACACACACACAAAAGGCACATCACAGATTTATTTTACATCTTGTGAAAATGGTATTTTACCACCCCTTTAAGTCAGTTCCCTAAAAACATAGACTGGTTTAAGTTAATAACAAAAAAGTATGTCTGATTGCCTCTTGACTTACTGCCAGTTGGACACATAATGGCTATTTGTATGCAACTGGCTGGTCTAGCTGATCTCCCAGCCTGGCGAAGTTGACAAGTTCTCAAAACCCAGCTTAAACCAGCAAACAATCCAATCTGACCAGACTAGACAATATCTGTAGAGGTATTAGATTAATTGTTTTAGAACTGTTTATTAATTAGAAATTCAATAAATATTACTCATGTGAACCCCATGAGAACTTGTCAGAGAAAGGAATGGCAATTATCTGCCTCTCTAAAACTCTTTATTTAGCTAGGCCTCTCTGTCTAGTTAATTGAATAGAATACATAACAGTTATTGGTCCTTAACTAAAGAAAACTCTTTAGAAAAGGTATTTACATTTGGTCACTTCATATGCTTTATGTGAGCAAAGGGAAGCACTGCAATCCATGTGTGAGGGAGCAATCATGAACTAGAGTTGTGAGAACTGAAACACTAATTGCACATTCAACTGAACATTTCTCTCTGGGAATTTTTAGAACAAAAATGTAAGTTAACACCATTTACAGATGTGGCTAAGAGCAGATGGATCCCAAGGAGACAGTAAAGTGTAAATTGGCTCAGAATCTAGAAGGGAAATTTCTGTGCGATTCATACTAGATGTTTAAAAATAAAGACAAGGGCAGACATTATGTAACCGTTTTACCTATTTGAAGTTTTCTTCTTCACATTGTCATTTTTTTGTCAGTCCTGGATTACATTAATGCCTGTGGCAGAGCTGTGATTTAGGCCAGCATAGCTTTTCCCTTTACAACATGAGTACATATTCTTTGAAAGTTTTCTGATTGTTTGAGCCTTCCTTAGCGTGTGTAGTTAAAAGAGTTTGAAGCCTGTGTAAAAAATAATAGCTAAAAACCCCATTGCTTTGAGCAATAAGCAAACCATTTACCAAGAGTAAATAAAGATTTAAAGGTTAAGGCATCAATCTGCTTTTGAATCTGCTTATTACATCTGGGTCGTGTGGGTTTGTGATCCATCTGAATGCGTGTCTGTGTATACAACACACACATTAGAAGGTAACATGTTAATTCACCTTTGGCTAAGCCCCGCCCCCCTTAGTTACTGTTGCTACATCCGTCAAACTTCATCTGCGCTCTGCATGGCTTATGCTGTAACAGCTCTTCCTGCTGAAATGTTATCAAACTTTTATAAAGCAGCAAATAAAGTGTCCGATAGAAGTAGGCAAAAGGGGCTGCAATATGAGTTTGAAGGCTATATTCAAGACATACAAACGCAAGAAACAAAAAGGCATCCAAAATAGAGGCAAAAGCATAACGGTACCGCTCACAGTCAAAATAATGAACCACCGCATTTCCTACTAATGGAGACGGAGGCTGGGACTAACAATATCAGGGAGCAACACTGTTCATGCAAAGTTGGGTAGGTCTCTATTCACTTCTATAATCGTTATAACAAAGCAAACTGACTACACGAGTACTGTATAACATTGTATTTATTAGCAGCGTGTGCTAGCGTATCAACAACCGGTATGAGAACCGAAATCATAACCTAAAACATTATAAAATAGTCTAACTAGTATAACTTCACACTCACAGTAAGGTTAGAAGTAAAAAAGATGTGCTTGTTGATCTTTGGGGGGTTTGGCTGACTGAGGACGTCCACACAGTTTAATCCAAACACGACACTTGTCAGGATTTTACTTCGGTTTTGGGAAGGGAAAAAAACGGACACCCCCCTCCAACCTCTCTGGGAAACGCGTATCTGTGTTACAAATGCCCGAGGCACAACGTTTAACCATATTTTGGATAAAACTACGACGGTAATAGCCTGCCGAGACCAAAAATATGAGACGCCTATGTTGAAAGTCAATGGAGCGCTGTGAAAAAGTGTCCGACCTCTGTGGGAGCTCGTTCTTGGCTGCGCTGTGATTGGTCAATCTACATTATAGGGCGTGGATTAGCCAAAGGTGAATTATGGGTACAAATCCTTAAATCATATGAGAATTGCTACAATAGGTGACAATAATAATGAAATTAGATTTAATAATAAATTGTACATGCAGTTAAACAAGCATGGCTGCATTAATGGATATTTATGATGTCAAGACCATAGCATTATGTAAATAGCACTGGGCGTGGGCGATTAATTATAATCACTGCACTCATTCTTTTGACAATGGTTGAAATATATATATTCATGTATATGTATATTTGTATATATGCATTTGCTCTGAAAGGGTTTAGGGACCATTTGTTTCAGTTAGATATCCATGTCTTTCTTTATTCATTCGAAAAGAAATGAAGGTTTTTGATGAAAACATTCCAGGATTTTCCCCATATAATGGAGTTCAATGGGAACCAAATGGTTCAAGGTCCAAATGAGAGTTTTAGTGCAGCTTCAAAGGGCTTTAAACGACACCAGACGATGAATAAGGGTCTTATCTAGCGAAGCGATCGCTCATTGAAAAAAATAAATAAGTTTTATAAGCACAAATTCTCGCCTTGCTCCGTTCTGTGATGCGCGTTCGTGACTCTCCTGTTCACACTCGTTGATTAAAATGAACAAATCTTTTTTTGAGTCATGACTCGAAGGGTCCTAGACCCTTATTCATCGTCTGGTGTCGTTTAAAGCCCTTTGAAGCTGCACTGAAACTCTCATTTGGAACTAGAACCGTTTGGTTCCCAATGAAGTCCATTATATGGAGAAAAATCCTGGAATCAAGAAAACATTTGAGGAATGTTTTCATCAAAATCCTTAATTTCTTTTCGACTGAAGAAAGAAAGACATGGATTTCTTGGATGACATTGGGGCGAGTAAATTATCAGCAAAAGTTTTTTTTTTTTTTTTTTCAAAAGTGAACTACTCACTACTTTACATATTCCGAAGTCTGAAACATTAAAGAAATCTATATTCTCTATTAACTGGTTATGGTGTTCTTCATTTTTCTTGAAGGCTTGCAAGCTGTTGGGGATTTTGATGTTGGGTACAGCCTCCTGGAAGTTCTCAGCCCAGGTGATACTCCAAAGGGATTATGCCCGCCGTCCCACGATGCTGCTACCCTCAGGTTGGCTGCTTCGGCACTCTGTGGTCATGTGGTTGCTGTTTCACAGTTTGGTGCTGATGGCACTGTGTTTCCACCACGCTACAACTTCCTGCTCCAAACGTTGCTACTGTTCAGACAGCGAGGGCTCATTTGGTGGCAAGACCATGCGCTGCAGCAACCTGCATCTTACTGAGATCCCTCAGGACATCCCCAATGACACACAGCGCCTCTATCTGGACTACAACCTCCTGACCAGCATCCCTGCCAATGCTTTTCATGATCTTCCACTGCTAGCTGAACTAGATCTTTCCCATAATGAACTGGCTTTGCTTGAACCTGGAGCCTTTAGAGGCTTGGCAGCCTCTCTGCAGTTTCTGGATCTCTCGTCCAACCTGCTCACGACATTGGACCCAGAAGCCTTTGAAAGCGTTACAGCTAGATCTAACCTCACTGGAAACCCCTGGCACTGTGACTGCAGGCTGCAGACAGCCCTCCCACGCCTAGACTTAGAGCCTGTGTCTTTGACCGGTATTATCTGTCAGACATCTGAACCCTCAGACTCAGGAGCCCAAGGTGTGCCTTTCCTGCTGGCCAAAGACCTGGACCTGTGTGTGGTGCTCAAAAAGACTACGGATGTGGCCATGTTGGTGACCATGTTTGGATGGTTCACCATGGTCATCTCCTATCTGGTCTACTATGTGAGACACAATCAGGAAGATGCCAGGCGCCACCTGGAGTATCTCAAGTCTCTGCCCGGCAGGCAAGGCAAGTCTGAGAGGTCTTCCACCATCAGCACTGTGGTATAGCACAAGGCCAAGTGCTCATGACATGTGGAAGAAGCTTCTCGGGCTGCCAAAAGGCAATGGACACACTGGGCAATAGGCTACCTGATTCTGATGTTTAAAATTGATTAAACCCTTGGAAAAACAAAGACCCCTTGAATCAAATACAACACCACAAGTAACCGTTCAGGATTGATCTGTACCCTCCCAAAGAACCAGAAAGAATGTATTCCTAGAATGCTTCTTATGTGAAATGTGAAACATATCATGCTGAGACTGAAACCATCCACAGACATGCAGATGGCTAGAGATAGAAGAAGGGAAATCACAGAGGCCATCTAATCCAATTCAGATAAATAATTGATTCCGAAATGGCTGAACTTGAGGCTCATCTTGACTAAGAGGTTTTTCTACTCTGCACACTTTTAAAGGAGGCGTTGTCTGGTTGTTGTTTTTTTTCAGCCAGACCTCCATTTGACAGGCAACACACGTAGCGTAAAGCACTCGTCCCACTGGGTATTTACAAAAAGTACTGTTGTCGTGAGGCTTTTTTTTCAGCCAGATCTCCATTTGACAGGCAAAGCACGGAGCGTAAAGCACTCATTCCACTGGGTATTTACAAAAAGTACTTTTGTTGTCCCTGCAGGCAACATCAAAATTTTACAGAGCAACACATTCTTGCATGCATCAATGATTTTTAAGGTGTCTCAGTAAAAAGTACAAACTGCAAAAGTAAAAAGCACTGTCGTTTGTTTTGATACTCAGTGGTTAGGTTTTTAGGGAAGCACAGAAGAGCTATTTTCTTCATGGATCCTGCAGCGTTAATGGTGTTGTGACTTAAAATAAATAAAAAGGCTGGCTTGTTAGTTTCATGATCAGTCACTGTAAGATAAATGAATCACTGTTAAAGTCATTTCAAGGGAAAACACCACGAGGCATTTTTTATTTAAAAAAATGATTTTGAATGTTTCAAAACTTCTATGCTTAAAGATAATGAGACCATTTTGACGACCACATAGTGTGTTTGCACTGTTAGAGGTATGTCACATCCAATACTGTGTGATTGTTCAATTTCTTACGTGCCAGCAAGAATAATTCAGAAAGTCTGCCAAGATAATCCATAACTTAAAATCAGTCTGAATGTTTTAATGTCTTCAAAGCTTTACAAGTCATACCCATAAATGAAGAAAATAGCATTGTCTTAATCCTTTACTAAAGGCAGTGAGGGCTATGCCATGAAATTACTCAATTACTAAAACCTAATGAGCTTCCTACTAAGACATTTTAAGGTGTCATATGTAATCATGACAAAAATGCTGTAATTGTGTTGGCATTTGGCTATGTAGATTGTAGATAATAAGGAATCTCATTAATGGTAACATTTTACAATAAGGTTTCATTTGTTAACGTTAGCTAACTGCTTACTACATTCAACCTTATTGTAAAGTGCAGGTGAAATAAATGATTTGCTGGTCATGCAAATGTGGGATCTTTTGTTTCAGTGCAAGCAACAGAAAAGGATGACTTGTGTGGAAAAATGAATAAGAAAAGGTATTTGATATTTCCTTTTTGCTTGAAAGTGCCAATGTGGCATTGTTTTTGGTCTCAGTGATATCAGGGTGTATTCAGTCCATTGATCCTAACAAGAAATGTCATGATGAAAATTAAGGAAAATTCTGAGAGGTAAATCTTATTTTCATTTGTAAAACTACTTTATATTTTACTTTAAACATGGATTGTGCACTTTTAGCTATAAAAATAAATAACAATAAATTAGACATGCAAAAAAATATGTAGGATAATTTTTTTCACTCTCTAAATTGTTTAAATTCTGCATTGCTTGAAACAAATCCTAGAAGCTCAGTTCATTGACACATTACAGGCTATCTTTGAAAGCATAAATACACACACAATGGGCTGCATCAATGCATGAAGCTACGAAAGTTGCCCCAGTACAAAATTGGGTTGAGGAGGGTTGAAATATAAATTTAATACTCCGTATTAAACAATATGTTTTTTGTTTTTTTTTTCGTTTTTGTTTTTTACGTGCTTTAATATGAAGTATTTGCACGTTTGACCACTTGGTCATGCACTATTCCTGCTGCTCACTCTGCTTTGTGCTGTTTGAGATGCATTTTGTCCATAATTAATGCTGGGCGGTATGACCAAAAATTTACATCACAGTATTTCTAAAAAAGTATTCCGGTTTCACTGTTTTTTCCCCACACATGACTGTGTGTTAACCACATTTTCTACTGATTGAGAGAGGAAATACTGTAGCAGATTAACTTAGAATGCCCTATTTTACTGTCATGAGTGCATTTGAAGAGAAATTCCACACGTATTAATACAGGTTTGCAAGGCCCCACAAAATGATGGTGTTTACAAAGAGGTGCCAACTGGGGGCACTTTTAGAAGTGGTAGAAACAGCGGTTTCCCTAACAGCTGTACACAAAGCAGGACAGAAAAAAATTTCAATGTAGAAAAAACCATGCATTTATGCTGCGTCCCAATTCAGAGAATTCATCCTTCGAAGGACACATTCGATGGCCGATTGCTTTGAGATATTGCAACTGTAATTCCTCCCCATCAGAATTAACAAGTGTATGTCCATTAACAAACTGATGTGTATATTTTTAATTTATTGCAGTTCACATCAGAGAACGTCAACGGAGACATTCTGTCGGATGACGATGAATGGGGTTTCGCTTAGAAAGCCTATCGACTTTGAGTATTACAAAACAAGCCAACGGCAAAGAAATGCCATGGGCCAGCAGATTTTGCATAGCGTATCTCAGCCTTACCCTGTGGGTAAAAAACGTGGACGCTGGCAATATGCAGTATGTTTCTTCGCTGAGGAGCCAAGACTGAACTCGGCTGTTCCAGCTGCACAGTGGAAGGTGGCAGGAAGACGGAACGTCTCCTTTCCCCACTCAGGGAACGAGGGTTACATACGTAACCAAGACGTTCCATTTCATTGTCACTCCGAGTTCCGTCGGATGACGACGAATGGGGTTACCTGTCTAATCACGCCACCTCCACAGCTGTCTTCAAGTGTCCTGCGTAAATCTGAGATCCCTGACGTGAGACTGCATGGACGAAGGATTCATATGTAAATATGCAATTACTGCAAACCCAGAAGGGGGAACTTAAGAATAAGAAGCATAAGGGGAAACACTGGGGTGTCCAGCTGCAGGGGGGATATTTCAACCCCAGGGGTGGCAAGGTGGCAAGCCAAGGCAAAGACACATGCTCAGAGAGACTTACGGTGGAAATACACATGTGGGGGTCACTCAGGGGAGGGACCATGCACATGGGAGGCACCTAGCCAACAATAGACACTGGAGTCGGCGTCACCAGATCTGGAGGAACTCAGGGCTTATAAGGCTACCCTGAGGAGAATAATCGCACGTATCCAGTCCGTGGAGTGGAACGGCGAGCAAGCGAAGACACCTGAGCGGGTCCTAGTACCAGCTGGTTGAAGCGAGTACATGGGCGGACACAGGCTCCACTCGGAGATTGTAGAATCTGGCGAATGTGTAGGGTGTCATCCAGCCTGCAGCTCTGCAGATGTCTGTTAGCGAGGCACCATGCGCTAGAACCCAAGAGGATGCCACACTCCAGGTGGAGTGAGCAGTCATACTAAGGGGGCATGGACAACCTTGCTGCTGGTATGACAAAGCAATGCCGTCCATTATCCAGCGGAACAGCCTTGCTTGGAGCCTGTCCCTTCAGCCTCCCACTATAACAAAGACAAAGGGCTGGTCTGAGGTCCTGACACTGCATCCTGTCTACATAGGCATCAAGAGCGCGTACTGGACAGAGCATTGCCAAGGCTGGGTCTGCCTCCTCCAGGGCAGCGTTGGCAGGTTCACCACCTTGTCCTGAAAGGGAGTGGTAGGAACCTTGGACACAAAATGCTTTAGGCCAGGGGCATATTGAAGAGCAGCTTGTGAGGCAAGCCGTCCAGATGTGCAGGAGAAGGATTGGTGGTCGTAACCCACTGGCTTCTCCGGGACAATGAAACATGGGCTGTGAAACCTGGACCTCATTTCGTCTGGAGGGACAGTCTCGATCTTACCCCTCGTCAGTAGGGTAGCAATCTCCGCTCTCATGATAGGGGCATAGCCACCGACCATAGCGGAGCGGACTCACCAGAAGCGGGGAGGAAACTGTGCGAACTGAATCATAAGCCGAGCCAGCAGGGCCACGCGATCCACAGAAGTCCTCTCTGTGGTGCAGTGAAGCGGAATGACCGGCCCGGACGTGGATGGCATAGCAGCCCGGAGCTGGGGCGTGGTCAAACCACACCCTGACAGAGGAGACCAGAGAAAGACCAGCGTTCCGTGGGGGCCTGCTCTGCCAGGGGTCTGGCGACAGAGAGGGATGAGAGTGGTACGGCCCGGGGGTGGCACACACTCTCATCCGAGCTCTGGGACAGAGGGGAATAAGAGTGGCCAGGCTCATAAGTGGCGCGCACTGTAATCCGCCCCCTTTGGGGGCTCAGAGATAGGATGCAGCTCTTTGGAGAAGAGATTCTCCCCCAGCCCTCCACTGGGGGAAGGAATGGCCCTCGACTACTCCCTGAAAGAACTGCAACCCACATCTGAGATGCCCATAATGGGAGTGCCGCATAGCCTGGCGTTCAGCTGGGCTGCCAGGCTATTACGGGCAGGGGCACCTTCCTGTGACCACCTCCACAGCACGGCCTGGTGCTGCTGGGGCCGGGCAGGAGGGGGCGGAAGTCACAGGAGGGCGCATTCCGTGGCAAGCGGACTGAGGCATCTGAGCCAGCAGCTTGTTGGCAGCAGATGGCCACGGGGTCAGACAAAATAGCCACAGTCCACTTCTGGGCGGCCAAAAATTGTTGGGCAGAGTCCGCGACTGTGCCGCCGAAGAGGCCAGACTGGGATGTGGGGGAGTTTAGGAAATGGGTTCACTCAGCCTTGCGCACATTTATCAGGTTAAGCCAGAGATGTCTGACCACGCATGTGGACATCACCTGACTCAGGGAGCGTGCAGTCACCTTCTTCACTCGTAGAGCAAGGTTGGTGATGGCAGGCAGCTCAAGGATGAGCCCTGAATCAGCCCTACCCTTGTGCATGTCATTAAACACCCAGAAGGATGGCAGTGACATGCAGTGAGCTGGCAGCCTGCCCCCGGAGTAGTCAAGAACCTACAGGCATTGGAGGGGTGCTTAGGGTCACCACGCCAGGTGGAGGCGCTGGGTGGACACAGAAAACTCCACTGGGGGGAACCCTAGTGGAGTGTACCTTAGGCCGTGGCCTCTACGAGGGCAGAGAAGGCGGAAGAGGCTGCTGAGCAGTCGCAAAAAGTAAAAGGAGACTCCCACGATCTCATGACCTCTTCATGCACGTCCGGGTAGAAAGGATTTGGGTTCGCCACCCCCAAAAAACAATCATCAGCTTTAAGTGCTCGGGACATGGCAGAAGGTTCCACACAAGCCCGATACTCACAACAGCCTGGGAAAGCATAGCTGTGAACTCTGGATTAAACTCGTTATGCTAGCACATCCGAGGACATTAACACAGACGAGCCATCATCTCTAGAGAACTCCAGCTCACCTTGTGATGCGGCGATATACATGATCTCATCAGGCCGAGAACTCACTTGGGACCACGCAGGTTACGATGTGAAAGACAGGGTGTGGACCGAGGAATTTTCGTCAGTTTAGTTCCAAACCTGCCGTCTTAGGTCACCCTGGCCACCAGCCGAAATATTTTCTCAAGTGGAGAAAAATAGATCGGGGTGTGGATGAGGGAATTCTCACTCTATTGAGCTCATTGAGTCTCAACTGTTACATTGCGATGGTCACGTTCACGTTGGGTTCCCCATCAGCTGAATCTATCAGAATACAGCACTCAGAAATACATGGGTAGATCGTCTAGAAAGACATGTCTTTAAAAAGACTCTCTTTTTGTAAGAGAAAAGCTTGCAGCAGTGCTGAAGCACCCAGGGAGAAACACACACGCTGTTCAGTTCAGCAGGCAGGAATATGAAACTCGCTGGAACTCGCTATCACACTAACACCGACTGGAAGCTGCTCGTCTAGAAGATTCTCGAAGATAGTCAGAGAATAGGCTGCAGGAGTGAAAAAAACTCTTGGCTCCGAAGCGAAAACTTACTGCATACTGCCGGCGCCCTCCTTTTATACCCATGAGGTAAGGCAGAGATAAGCTATGCAAAATCCACAGACCCATGGCATTTCCTAGTTATTGGCTTGTTATGCAATATTCTAACTCAATAGACTTTATAAGCGAAACCCCATTTGTCGTCATCCGGCGGAACTCAGAGTGACAACAAAAGGGAACTGTATCAATATCAGCTCATACATCAGCCGAGCACTGACGTGAATATGCATTAATGGACAGAATTGGATTGTTAGATAATAGTGGGCCCACAGCTGCTTAGCAGAACTATTTGAGTAAGACAATGAAAGCGCAAGTTAGCCGAAG